TCTGTTGCTGACGTTTACCAGGGCTGAGTACGCGGCCAAGTATAACCTCGGTAAAGATGTTCCCTATACGACGTACCAGAATAGCGATGTGACGCAGACGGTTATCAGCGAGAATTCCCGTGGTGATGTGCGACCTATCTGGGAGCTGCTGTATAATCACTATGGGGTTCTCAAGAAGCTGAATGCGACTTGGACAAAGCAGTATCGGGATATGGTGGTTGAAAAGGGTGAGGGTGCTGAGGGTGGTGGTGGTCATTATGGAGGTACCAGTGGTGGGTTTGATCAGTTGGGGTATGGGACTTTACTCTACAGTCTTTAGAGTGATGTTGTTCTAGTGCTTGGACTTGGTCCAAGGACTGTGTGAGTCCTGCTCATGGATATTCATGAGGGGGGGTGTTCATTCTAGATGGAAAGAATCATTTCCACCTTGATTCTTCCATATCTTAATATATAGTATAGTCTACCTAATACTCTCATATACTCGTGAAACATAAAAGCCTCTCTGTACGGAACCCCCGCCCAATATGAAAGTAGAACGAGCATCATCGGACCCCTCAAAAGCATCCACTACATCAAACAACCATACCAACCCAGACCTCAGTAAAAACACCCCATAAACCCATCCCACCAACGAAGACTCCCCCAGGCAAGCCACAACCCAATCTACGCCCAGCCATGCATCGATGAAACCACGAGACCCAAATCTCCATCATGCATAGGATCTCATCTGTCCCAAGAATTTCAATATCGACCGTCCCAGTATACACCATAATAATCAGACGACACGCACACTGGAGCTATGGGATAGAGGATTTGAATACAGCCCGCTAAAGGTGATACCCATACGGTGGCTGCATAGTGATAATCAAGTGACTCCTTCCTCGTGCCGGCGGCGTGTACGCTGAGCTGGAGCTGTAGATGTACATACTCTGCATGTAGTCATGTTTGCCTTTAATCTTGTTTCTTATCGGGTGGACTAGATTAGATGGTTTAGATGAGAACTGGTCGGGTGGTGAGCTGGACGGCCGTTGATGCGGGCAGTTTTAAAGGGGTCTGGACTCGGGAGAGGGAATGAGATGCCTGTTTGGGTTGGGTGGTCCGGTTGGTAGTTTTGAATTTGGTGAGGGGGTTTGTTGGGTGTTCTTGTTTATGTGTGGATCGTGGATTGTCGTTTGATGTCGTGTTCGTAGTTGGTTTTGATTCTGAGTGAGGCTGTAGGGTGAGCTTTGGAGCTTATTGCGGGGAGCATGGGTTAGCTGGGTGAGTCAGTGTTGTATGGATGGTTTCTGCATATTGTCTGGTTTAGAATCTTGGTGGATGGTAGAAGACTACTACTTTATATTGCCCGGTTTATCTATTTGAAAATGTGTTGATGTTGACTACATATGTACAGCACAAAGTTGGTTGTTACAAGTCACAGGGTTATAGGTACCCTAAACATTGAGACAGTATATTCAATGTAACCAGTCCATTTATAAATAGCAAGCAGCACGATGACATATGTAGACCGAATACATCATTGCACAGAACCCAGAATCTGAATCAAAACTAAGCATTTAACTCCAGACCAATGTAGAAGCATCGCCGGGACACGATGAAGCAATCAATCACAACTCACCAAAAGCCCTCGTGCGACATACTTGTACGTCAAAGCTTCAGCGATCCAACTACAAACAATACCAGCGACTTCCAGAAAACAATTAAATTGTCCAAAGTAGCCAACTATCCAGTCATCTTCAGCGCAAAAACCACATTTAAATAGCGCAATGACCACATGTACCGGTAGAACAAGGTACACACTAACTACACTACGACATTAGATAAGACGGAGCACATCACACCGGGCGAAGTACGCGCGACATCCCACGCAAGTAGCCTGTATCTGCATGCCCTCTCATGTCTTACATACATGGGCCATCCAATACGGATACATCCGCCCACAGCCTTGCCATAAATTAATATCGATTGCTGACAAGCGAAGGACTAGCTGGAGTTAAGTGTACATATCTCCAGTAGGTGCCTATGCAAGCTTGGGTGATATCGGATTTACTCCGGCAATCCGGCTATAGGTATCGGTATTACACATGTTTCTTTTTTTTTTTTTTTTTTTACTTTTTTGGGGAATGTACTTAAGTACATACATGTATGTATGTGCAATGTTATGTATGACTGCATGGGCGGGTGCATTAGCTGCGTAGTGGCAAGCCTCCTGGCTGTTTGTCTGTTGTTAACTAGACTGGGGAAGATGCAGGTCGCATTATCCAATGATGGGTTGAATGTGGTCGGTGGCTGCAGGGACCTCTGCTGGCGTGTGCGTTTTCTTGTGCAAGGTTTGGAATATTTACTTTCACTATCTTGGTTAGTGAACAGTGAATTGAAAATTATTTATATATAATTTTTCCTAGAAAAGTATTTTTGGGAAAATGATCTCGGCTGAAGCTTCCCCATATTCGATGTTTTTCTGCACTGCATTATTAATTCACCAGAAACTAGACTCAGAAGAGAAGACGGAGAGACATCTTACTTCATTTTTAGCGGACGGACGGGATCAACAAGGCTCAGTCACAGATTAACTCCACAACTTCACATCAGTGGGCTTGCTTATTCGTAGACTCAATGGAATGGTGTGCGTGGACCGGCCGCTAAATGTGATTAGATATCTGTAGGTGCGGCAGCACCAGGAACGGTTTGAAGTGGATGGTATGGTAACCCTCGGTTTAATAGTTACAATACTTAAGGACAGGGAATTGTGACGACTGCAGCCAGGGTCAGAATGGGCTGCTGTTACCAATCATGCAGTAGTGACTAGGCGCTAAGTGGTTGGGGGCTCCACTGAGAAGCGGCAGCTAAGGCTATCTCATGATGGTGAGCTGTCGTGGTCCAGATTCCCTGAGGTATTCCTCGTTGCCGAAATGATGGGACTCTGAGACGGAAATCAAATCCCAGATATAAGATCTCAGCTAATTACATATTTGTGTGTAGGGAGGGGAGATTGGGGGACCAGGTACAGTATACCAAATACTACTTTCCAAAAAGGAATCCTAAAACGACACGAGATATTTAACTGGTGGCAGGAACTCTTAGCGCAGACTGTGGGTACCTACTCCAATCACTAAATCAACCAGGATAATTGCTGACAAGTCCAATGACAATCCCAGTGCCGAAAATGGCGTGCTACATGTTAGGGTATTTAATCCGTATCAGACAGCACATGGTCAGTGCTGCCCGTTGAGCTCAAACGGTCATGGATAGCTTCCAGCCATGAACATTTGTCCACCCTGATACCCGCCTGGCTAAACCGTGGGTCATATATGCTAAACGCGGCCTGCAAACATGCAAATGCAACTTCATAGATCCACTGGGCATAATGCTGGCGCCATAGTACCTACCTTAGAACACCTCTTCAGCAGAATAGCTGCAGGTCTGCTGTAAAGATATCGAATGTATGGACGCGCATCCGGTGATGGCATAGTGCAGATCCGGCCAGCTCAGACCACCTACTGGCCAGAAACTCTTGAGCTCAACGCACGCTCTTCGGAGATTTTATCGATGTTACCTCTAGTTGATCCACCCTGTTTCGATGGGATCGACAATGCAATTGTATCATCGATGCATGCCACTCCTTACGGAGTACAGAACCACGCATGTATCGTCGAATATTATCGGGCTGTGGTGGTTCTGCAGTTCAGATCTCTGGATTTACGGGTGTAACCGTCTAGCATCAGGGGTCAGTGACTTGTCAACACAGTACTGATGCAGATCAACCACTTCGTAGAAGATTATCTATTTCATGAAGGTATGAGTTGTCTATCTCTGTGTATAGATTCCAAGTCTCATTCTAAAACCTTTTTTTTTTTTTGTTTTTTGTTTTTTTTCTGTTAATTCATTCCATTTTGTTAATAATAAATACCATGAGTGGCGTTAAAAGTCTGCCCAACCGCCTAAAACCATGCAACGTAAAATATCCAATGAGACACCATGAAGAAGCGTCTAGTAGGCGCTGATAGACGATCAGCAATGCAGGTTTCGGCTGGACAATCAAGTCAAACTAATTATAGTGATTATGGTGGTACGGTAGTGCCCTGAATATATAGAGTAGTGTGATTAAAGTGGCTAAGAGAGACATAATGGAAGGTTGTAATAATAATCCCCGTTAAATGTCATACGTTAGGTATAGATAGGGGCTCTACAAAACAGGTAAGCTGATATATCATGTCCATGCAATAATAATAATGATCACCGTTACTATTAAGCACGATAATAACCATTTCCCGCCAGTTGTTATTCCGTTTGAAAGATGCACTACTGCATAAAGAACCACCTGACTCGGCCATGGCTAAACTCAATGGAGTAGCGCTCGACCTCATAACAGGCCTGAGGTGTCAACGTCCGAGGGCCGTGCGATAAAAGCCAGAGTCAACTTCCCGGACTTATTCGGCGTCGTACTGCATTGGGTCATATGTGGTTAAATCGTCAGTACAGGTATAGTTTCAACCTGGTAGCAGGCGATGGTATCAGTGAAAGCACACTGATACTCATCGAGATACCAGATATAAGTATTTTTATGCTCAGAGTAGTCAGGCACCTCCCGGATGCCACCCTCGCAATTCAGGCCGAACCTGAACGTCATGGCGTGGGGCAGTAGCCAATCAGGCGGGCCAATGCGACTGGCCGCTTGGACCGCGCGGCGGCTAGCCTTAGGCATCGGAGGCCTACTGCGTGTTCACCTATTTCGGGTATTTTGCCCCCAGTTCTCCGATGGCTGGGCTGGCCACTAAAAGGTTAGACTCTCTGGATGGACACACATCTGCACAGTGGCTAGAGTTGCCTGTGGATTTTATAAGGTCGTATTCTATGGACAGGGAAGCTTGTTAGTTTGCTGTAGTTATCGAGTAACTTTTGACGCTCCTACACCTTCGTTGCTTAATCGGAAGAGCTAAATAGCTCGTCCAATAGAGCTGATAAAAATAACCCCCCTCCATCATGCTACAAGACAAAATCCAGTCCAAGACCTGGCCAACGGCATTTTTGACCGTTCAACGGAATTCCCATCGATCTTTTCCAAGGAGGGTTGCCACCAGATTTTTGTCTCCTTCTTCCATCGTATCGGACCCATATAAATCCCTAAACGGAGTTCTCACCACGTTCTCCCCGGGCCAGTCGAAAAAGTTTAATGACAAAAGTAGTCCTGAAGTAGGAAGGTCAACAAAGGTAGACCGTCAGGAGACAGGTGAAAGTCAAATTGCGCCAATGCAACATGGGAGCGTCACCGACCACTCTGGATGGCTCGGTGGCTAGGTCCTAATTTCTAGAAATTCGAGCGTTCCCTAGGGAACTGGCTCCCGTGCTCAGGGGACGCATGGTTGGGGAAGCCCAAGGACGATCCGCGCCATCACCGGGTCGTATATCCAATGAGGCGTGGCTGGCCGTCTGAAGTATGGAGTACTAGTGTAAACACTTTCTGGTTCCGACCATTTTCGTCCGTGGTTTCGCCAAGTCTTCAATACCAGAGAACTGGCCGGAGGTTTGACAGGAAACCCACCATTTCGTCCAGATCTCCACTGAATAGAGATCCGGTCTCAGTTCATCTCTCGTAGTGCCCGGAGCGGATCTGGGTTAATTGAGAGAGGAACAAAATCTCGAATCGGACAAATGAACATGGTCTGATGAGAGAAGACCCTCACTCAGAGCACCCGGAGACCGACAGAGACACAATCACTAAGACATTCGGGAAAGTGGATGGCTTCTTATTAAGTTATCCACCAGTTGCAACGGATCGGGGGGATGCGATTGGCACAGAGGGCTGAACAATGGGATGGGGAAAATCCCCCACACCCGATGAAGGGTGCAGCTTCTCACTTGCTTTCCCCCACAAAATGGCGCAGAGCTGCTGTCCGTGGCCTCGGAAGGCAGCGTGGCCTTTGGGGTAAATTTTCGCTTCTTTGTTCGGCTCTCATTCGTAGCCGTCGTCGTCTTAGCCCATTCATAGCCAGTCATATTGTAATATTAAGAGGTGATAGTGTTCTTTGTGCGGCTTTTGACTGTTTTAGGGGGCAAATGATGCGGCGCCAACCGCCACCCCATCGGTAGCCATGGCCTTGGATCCGGGTTAGCCGTCGAACAATGGTTGTTGACCTATTTAGATCCTTCTTCGAATTTACTTCTTCTGGAAAGTCGCCTTTCTTTTCTTTTTTTTTTTTAAAAAAAAAAAAGATAAATCCGTTTTGCCTCTCAACAAATAAACTGTTGATTTCTGGAAGCCACAATTGTCTCCAATCTGTCACGAGGTCTGGGGTTGGATTCCACGTTCAGTTCCTTTCCGAG